TGCAGATCACAATGGAAGTTCAGAACGAGCTAATGTTAGAATAACTCAAAGTGAGGTTAACAATAGAAATAACACAGGGAAACCAGCTCTGGTTTACTATTGAATTTCCAGCAACTAGAGCTTTGTGCATGGTGAATGTTCAAGAACTAATGCATTTGACAAAGACATACTAGTAACCCACTGTGTGCCAGGCTCCGTTCTAGTCGCTAGAGATCCAGTGAGGAATTAATGACAAAAATCCCTCCCTCGGGATGCTCACATGGAATGAATGTCGGGTGAACAGATTTTTATTGAGTGTCTCTTGAGTGTCTCCTTAGTTGTGGAGTTCAGAGCTGGGAGCGGGGGCATGGGGGTCGCTAAGAAGAATAAACTGTGTTCCTTAAGAACTGACCATCTCACTGGGAAGTGAAGACACTGCCCACAGAACAAAAAAACTGCTCAAAGCTGTAACTGAATACAGGGCAGGGTGCTGATAGAGACAGAACCCGGCAGGGTGGAATCGATCAGAGTGGGCACTCATCTCCAGATTCCGCAGGCAGTAGACTCTCTGCAGCATGCCGACGTGTCTCTACTTCCCGAAGCAGTACGAATTTGCAGCTACAAAAATCAGAGTTCCCTTTGGTTCCATTTCTCCCTTACAGCCCCCTAAATTTTTTTAGTTCTCCTATCCACACGATGATTGTTTTTAAAGGGAATCACAGCAGCTTTTCTTTGGGGGTCAGGCTAGTTCCCTTATAAACTAATAGGGAAAAATTCCCAATAGTTCATGGCCTCATGAAACAGTCGCGCAGCTGGGGAAGAAAGACATGAACAAGTTACACAAGTAAAACCTCCACTGTTCTGAATGCTACAGGGGAGAACATAGCATATAATAAGGAGATTTGACCTTGTCAGAAAAGTTAGGGACAGCTTCTTAGGAGAAAAGATAGCTGTACTGGAATCTCAGGGATAAGGAGGGATTAAACAGGGGAAGGGAGAGGGGAACCTATCCAAGCAAGGAGAATGGCATGAGCAAAGGCCCTGTGGCAAGAAGGAATTTGCTATTGGGACAGAAGGAATAAGGGGTGGCTGAAGGGAGAGGACTCAGAAGAAGATAGATGGCGTGGATCATAATAGGCCATCAAGCATATGGAGGTGTTTTCTATTTATTCCAAGAGTAATGGGAAGCCCTTAAAAGAAAAATCTGGTTTTTCTTTTAAGAAGAGAAGAGGGGGGAGGATTACACTCAGATTTTCATTGCAGCAGGGTAACTGCCTGTAGCGTGATACGCATTTGCTAAGGGGACCAGGCCGTGTGGGCAGCATTAGTAAGAAGGCACTCAGCAAGAACCTAGACAAGAAGTGATAATCCCGTGGACCGGAATGGTGGCCATGGGCGGGCAGAGACAGAAAGAAGTAGACAAATGTCACAGGTACCGAATAATCAGTACAAAAGTACAACAGGGAGAAGCAATGGGGCTTGGTGATGGATGTAAGGGATGAGGGAGAGGGAGGAACTAAGAGTGACTTTCAGGCCTCTGACTTGTACACAGGCACCCGGAATGAGGACCTGTTTGCTGGGGGAAGATCACTGAGTCAGCTTTGCACCTCTTGGGTTGGATGCGGTTGAGGCATCTAGAGGGAAAAGCCAGAAACACAGCTGGATACATGGGTGCATGGCTCCGGGGGGGCGGGGGAAGTCTGGTGTGGAGGTTGACATTTGCGGGTCACCGGTGCTGAGGTGCGGTAGACACTTGTGGCTGTGGATGAGACCACTCAGTGAGGACAGACTGAGGAAGGGCCGGGGTCGGGGTGTCTAGAACCCGGCCCAAGGGATTCCAGCACCTGATGGCTGTGCAGAGGAGCCCGGACAAGCAGGCCCAAGACAACCTGCCCAAGGCGGGGAAGGAAACCAGCCTGAGAGCCAAGGGAGTCAAGTCCTTTGGAAGAGAAAGCGATTCGGGGAAAATACTGCTAAAAGGACAGCAAGTGAAGACTCGGTGATGGTAGCAGCTATGCTGCCATCGGTACCAACAGGAATAGGGCACCTTCACGGAGCACCAGTTGCAAGCCAGGCAATTTAACGTACAATCTCATCCCCGTAAGGGGATGTAGACCCACATCTAAGGTGGGCCCTATATCATCCACTTCTTACAGATGAGAGAACTGAGCGCAGAGATGAAGTCCTTTGCTGAGCCCACATGGCCAGTAAGTGACAGACCCCTGTGGCGGCTCTTCTCTGCCACTCCACGGACCCTGTTAATGATGTGTGTCTAGGGTTGGTGGGATAAAAAGCGGTCAGGGAGCGGGGAGGAGTATGGGGTATGGGGAAGCGAGGTTTTCTCCTCTTGAAAGCTTGGGATTCTTTCAAACACAGCCGAGCAAATACAACGTTGTTGCTAAATCCCAAGCCCAGCTGGTGACCTCGGGAGGGCATCCCAACGGTTGTTTCTGACGGCCTGGCTCAGCTAGGCCAGGGCAGGGCTGGCTGCGAAACGCAGCCGTGCTTGCTGGAAAAGGCTGCTTGCCCCCCGCGTGCGAGGGCCCCGGTTCTCAGAGTGGGGTCTGACATCACCTGGGAACTTGTTAGAGACGCAGATTCTTGGATTCATCACCCCAGGTCTTCTGAATCAAAAACTCAGGGGTAAGGGCAAAATCCGTGTTCCAATAAGGCTTCGTGCGACCCCGATGCCAAGCTTGAGAACCCATGCTCTTGGTGGGGGATCCTTGAAGACAGAAGAAGAAAAATCTGAATGATGTATAGTCCGTGTGCCTCTTAGACACCTTGGCAGAGACCAGGAGGGAGTGGGGCTAAACCTGGGCTGCACTTGGCAGTCCCATGGGGAGCTTTGCAAACTACCGCTGCCTGAGGCCCACCCTCAGAAACCCTGGTCTCCCCTGAGTGTTGGGCCATTGGCAATGAGGATTTGAATGGGGGAATGGGCGATTGAGTGAATGGTTGGCAAGGCAGCCTGGATCCTTTTGAGTCCAGAATCGTACTCTGGGGAGAAAAACAGGGCAAGCCTTGAAGGGGAAGGAAGACAAATGGAAGGGCAGCTAGACCGCAGGCCCACTGTGAGTACCAGGGTAGCGTGGAAAAATCTAGAGACTGCTGGGGGAGAAGGAGTCTGAACTCCTAACAACGCTTAATGGTGGCCTTACTCGCAAAGCAATGCCAAAGATAAATTAAATATGCCATCAGGACTGCTTCTTGAATAGAGAAGGATCATGATTTTTACTCAGTCTTAACGGAGATGTCTCTAGTAATTTTGGTTGAAAACAATATGCTCACCCCCTCCTGGCAGCTTCACCTAGACTCTGTCTGGATGGTAAGAAGGTGCTCTGCCCCTCTGGTCTCTCCAGCGTCACTGTTTTCCTTTTGCTCCTTGAACCTTCCTCCCCCACGGACCCACTCAGCTCTCACCCTCGGCAGTGTCACTCTGTCCCCAAATCCTGGGATTGGTTCATGCCCCCTACCCCCACCTCCTTGCTGCCTCAGGCCCTAGCTGTGTCCAGAATCCTCCGTGGCCCCCAGTGTAGAGAGCCAACCTTCTCTTGCTCTGTCATCTTTAAGGCACTCTGCTCCTGTTTTGTTTTCTTCATCCGGCCCATTTCCCCGTCTCCACCCCTGGATCATAGGTTCCACAGGAACAACAGCGCTGGCTTGACAGTCTTTGCCTCCCACCCGGTACAGTACCCCACTCCTTACGGGCTTAGGAAATAGTAGTCAAGAAACTGCCAAAAGTGCCTTTCCATCGTCTGCTTCACACATTGTCATGGAGTGCAGAGGAAGAAGGCCCCTCCTTCTTTAGAAGGTGAGGTGTGAGTGTGGTTGGGCCATTCAGAAGGCCACCTTGAGGAAAGAAATCGTAGGAAATGTGGCAAGATGGGAACCCCACAAGGCACAGCCTCCAGAGTGAAAAGTGGCCCTCACAGAAGGGGGCACTCGCAGCCCCATTCGTCTGTGAGACTTTGTAGTAGTTTCCCAGGGCTGCCTTCACACATTACCACCCACTGGGGGGTTATTTATTTATTTTTTTAAAGATTTTATTTATTTATTCATGAGAGACACACACACACAGAGAGAGAGAGAGAGAGAGAGGCAGAGACACAGGCAGAGGGAGAAGCAGGCTCCATGCAGGGAGCCCGACGTGGGACTCGATCCTGTAACTCTAGGATTACGCCCTGAGCCAAAGGCAGATGCACAACCGCTGAGCCACCCAGGTGTCTGCCCCCCCACTGGGGGCGTAAAACAAAGTGAATCTATTCTCTCATAGTTCTAGAGGCCAGAAGTCTGGGACCCATGTCACTGGGCCGAAACCAAGGTGTCTCCTGGACCCTGCTCTCTCCTCAGGCCCTCAGGGAGAGTCCATCCATCCTTCCCTCTTCCAGCTTCTGGTAGCTGCCATGTTCTTTGGCTTGTGGCCATGTCACAGTCTCCACCTCTGTGGCCGCGTGGCCTTCTCCCTGCTTCTCAAGTCTCCCCCTGCCTTTCTCTTCTAAGGACACCTGTGATTGCATTTAGGGCCCCCCCTGGTGATCCAGAATAACTTCCCACCTCAAGATCCTTATCACATCTGCAGAGTCCTTTCTTTGCTGTCTCAGGTAACATTCGCACGTTAAGTGATTAGGACGCGGATAATTTGGGGGACCCATTATCCAACCTACCACACATATAAAGGTAACTGGAGCCTCCAGAGGGAGAGACTTACCCAAGGCCACGTTTCAAGGTCATCACAGAGATCAAAGACCCAGGTCTCCTTTCTGTCAGTTTTGGGCTTCCCCCGCTAAACTAAGCTGATGTTCATAAAAGTAAAAGAAAGATATTTCAAATAACACCACGTACCCTAATCCGTGTGCTGTCTGGATTTTCTCTCTTCTGTCTTGTCATGATTGGGTGCTACCGGGATTCACCTACCACTGCACCTTCTTCCCCCCTGACTTCAGGCTCAGGACACCCTCTGGCTTGTGTGGGCAGTGGCCGTGGAATTACCTAAATGGCATTTTCTGCTCTCCTTTCAGGACCGCCTCTTTTTCGTCATGGAGTATGTAAACGGTGGAGACCTCATGTTCCAGATTCAGCGTTCCCGAAAATTCGATGAGCCTCGTTCCCGGTTCTATGCTGCAGAGGTTACGTCAGCCCTCATGTTCCTCCACCAACATGGAGTCATCTACAGGTAGCTCTTCCCTCCTCCTGCCTTCCCTGAAAGTGAAAAAACTAAAGAATTCTCCAGACACTTGAACTGACTTTGGCTCCTGCCCAACTGGTCTCTTAGCAACCCGCTTTAGATTAGTTGTTTGTTCTAATTTGCTCACAGAGGACTTTTTGGGGGGCTGTTTATCACTGTGAATGTTAATATTTGAATAGCCTCAGGAGATCTGACCTGCTGTTTGTGCCAGTTTTGATCGAAAGCCCAAGCATGGCATTTTAGAGGCTTGGCGCCCAGCAACCTTGGAGTGACCTTCATCTCTCTCTCTCTCCCCCACCCTCTTCCTTCAACATCAGGGGCATTCTCTTTACTTTTTCCTCCTGTGCCATGAACTTCCTCCCCTTCCCCACCTCTTGCCACTTCCTGAGTTTGTTTGGCTTGGTAGTCTCCAGCAGATAGAATCGAAGGAGGAGGAGTTGCTGGGGGTGGGGGGGTCCTCTGGGTTTATGATTTGAGGAGGAGGGGAAGGGAAGGGGAGCTAGACAATATCCAACAGGAAGTTACTGCAGATCATCCAGTCCCTTACTGCCGCCCTGTCCCCCTTCCAAGAAAACATGGAACACACACACACACACACACACACACACACACACAAATTTTCCAGTAAGGGAGCAGGGCTATTTACGCAGGCTCTTCTGTGAGGTCAGGAATTCTGGGAGGAGTAAATATTTATAATTAGCAACAAGGACACTAACGTTCCTTAAGATTTTCTCAATGGCTGTCAATTTCTTGACTCGGTTTTTGCTCCCCCCACCTTTTTTTTTCGGTTGGGTAGAAGAATAGCTGGTTGGGTTCAACCCAGAACTTAGTCACTAGAACCTTCCTGACCCTCTCCTGGGAGCAGTGCTCTGATTAAATGCTCATCGAGGGGTTCTGACCAACCCTCACTTCCTTTTTACTGACGACTCTTAGTTTCCTAAAGTATGTGTCTCTCTGCTCAATAATAGTCAGTGCCTCCCCCTGGCCTACACAATAAAGTCTGAACTTCACAGCCTGCCGGTCACGGCCCTCCACACCGCGTGTGTCCATGTGTTTGCTGCCTATCGCTGCGTAACAAAATACCACAGACTCCAGGGCTTCAGACAGAACCCATTTATTATCTCTTGGCTTCTGTGGTCCAGGAGTTCAGGCACGGTGGACCCTGGCCCTTGGCTTGGGACCTCTCTGTTGTGATCAGGGTGTCACACTGCATGCTTGTCTGAAGTTTGGGATCCTCTTCCTGGCTCACGTGCTAGTGGGCAGACCTCAGTTCCTTGCAGCACGTGGCTGGCTTCTCCAAGGCGAAAGCCTTTCAAAGACAGAGCCTTTCCTGCTTGGAGTCTCTAGCTTCAGGGAAGGCTTGGACCCTCTTTTAATAGGATCACTTGATTAGATTAGACCTCCCCAGGATAATCTCCCAATTTGTTTAACTCAAATGATTAGGGACCTTTATTTCATTTGCAAAATTCCTTTGCCCTTTAGCATCACATTATCGCAATAGTGACATCGCATCACCTTTTCCACGTTCTTTTGGTTATTCCAGATGAGATTGGGCCAGAGTGAGACTCATTGGGACTCCACTTAGGTTGTGTCTGCTACAGTGTGGCACACCTTTCTCTCCTCACTCCTCACAGCACTTTATTTCGAGCCCACCAAGGCTCTTCTTTTTTCTCAAACTCACCTGCCAGCTCCCAGGGTGCCTGTGCTTATGCCCCCCTCTGCCCTCCTCTGTCCAGCCCAGAGGCCTCACACAACACCGCCTGCCTGCCCAAAGCCACAGCAAGTTTCTCCACCACCCACACTTCCATTTGCAATCTGGGAATGAACAGGGTTTGAGATTTTTGTTGCTGAGCCTACCACTGTCCACCTTGTGTGAACGTTAGGCATCACTGTGGATCCCTCACTAAGTTACAAACTCCCTTAAAGACCTTTTTTTCCTTAAATCCCTCAATCATCTTATTTTACATGCTCTTCTTGTCTTACACAGAGTAAGTAGTCAACAAATGACCATTGACTTCAATTACTATGAAACCCTAATCTCTGCCCCCTAAACAACCCACAAGCCAGTTCGAGAAACAGGAGTTAGGTATATGAAGGGCCCACCCATACTACAAGCAGTGCCTTGTTAGGTGCCAATGACAGGAAGAAGGATTGCTATCCTTTGAGACATCACCCCCACTCCTCCCCCATGGCAGTGGGTATAATCATCCAGCTTACTAGCAGGGATTCAGAGACTTCTCAAGTAGCTTGCTCAAGGCCCTACATGGTCAGTTGCAGACCTAGGAAACCTAAGTGACTGATGAGCTCATGCTATACACCATGACACCTGTCACCCTGCCGTTTCAAGTCCAAGTCCAAACTCTTTGGCTTGTCATTCCAGGTACTCTAAGACTCACCTCTCTCTTACATGTCTATGTCTCCCCTTTCTGCTTCCCTCTCATCACACCTGTGAACATTTGTGCTCTGTCAGCTTCCAGAAGCCATACTTTCCCCTTCTCTCCACCCACCCCTCCTTCCCACCGCCCTGACCAATCTTCTTCAGTCTTGGTATCACCTGGCCCAGCTGCTGCTCCCCCGCCCCAACCTCCATTCTCTAAATACTGCTTCTCCCTGGGGCCTTCATCCCTCCTTCCTCTTCCCCTCACCGTTCTGCCTGAGTGATGCCAACATGTGCGTGCTTTCAGATGAGTCCTGTGTGCCACTCTGTGTCACTATATCCAGCCCCTAGTTCTCCTCAACCCACACAAGCGCTCCCTCCCAAACCTCTCTAGGGGCCTGACCTTTGGGGCTTTCTGCCTTCTTTCCAGGTGAGTGTGTAGTGTAGTGGTCTGCTGGCCTGACTCCCTCCCTGCCTCTCGGATCCCTGCCCTCCTCTGTGTCCTCGCCCTCCGTTGCCACCCAACATTCCTTGAAAGCACGCGGTTGTCACACATTCCCCTTTTAGCATCCTGCAGGCTCCCTCACGCTCTGGCCCTCCTGTGCACAGCTCTGTGGGCTGGCCATGGCGCAGGAGTGAGTGGCGGATGGTGTCTAGGTGGGCTCTGCTTGTGTGGCTGGCTTCAGCCCAGGAATGGGGTGCTTTTTCTACCAGGAGGAGGTGGCTTACTATGTCTCTCACAATGATACCGCCTGTGCTGACGGGGCCCTGGCGGCCCCCAATGATCTTGTGACTCTTATCACTGCTCCCTGTAACCATATATCCCACTCTAGGTGCTCCAAATTATTTGCCACTCTACCCTCAATACCATTCTTTTTCCTTTCTCTGAGCCTTTGTACCCCCGTCTCTGGAAATCCCTTGCTCCTAATCTGTGTCTTGATCAATGAGTGGTTCCCAGTTCGCATCAATGTTCTGACTGCCTCAGAGTCCCTGGTTCAAAAGGTTTGGAGATTCCATAATACTGGTGAAGGGGAAAGAGATAAAGATACTGGTGAGAAAAAAAAAACAGCTCTGAGATTATGATCGCTGAGGCTGGGTGATGTGCACATAAGGTTTCACTATCCTATCTACTGCTGTGTCTGTTTTAAATTTACTGTCATTATATTATCTTTTTAAAAAAAGAATAGTAATTCCAGGGTAACATTCCTAGAGTCTTTGAATCAGTAGGTCTGGAGTGAGGTTTAGGAATCCAGATTTTTTTTTTTTTTTAAGTGTTTTTCAGGTGACTTGAGGACCAGAGATTGAGAAATATTCCATTCTGCCTCTGAGACTATGTCAAGTGCCTCTGCTATGTGAGGCCTTCCCTGACCACCCAGCCTGTCCTGGGGATCATGTCTTCCCTGAGCAATGTAATATCTCACTGTACCAAGTGTTTAGCAGGTTCCCTTTGCAGAGCTTATGTTTTTACTTAAGATTCCTATTCTGTGATCGAGAGCTCCACACAGGAGTTCTTACCTGGTCGGCCTAGAACAATAGCCTGCTTATAGTCGGTGTTCACTAAGTATTTGTTCTTCTAGTCCGTAAAGCTCCAGAGCCTTGCAATCCAATGGGTTGCTACCTCATAGGCGTGTGCTTCTTAAAAGTCTGCGTTGGAAGCATTCCTAACTCCTTGACCCTAAAAGCCCCTCACCCCATTCCTTCCTATCTCATTTTATGGGTTGATGAGGATGATGTGATCTCTGTTTCTCATGTTGCTTTGTGTGAAGCTGCTACAGAAGAGGCTAAGGGGCAGTGTGTGTGCAGCTGCCTAGGGAGGCTGTGTGTGTGTCTCCACCTATTTGCCTCTGGCTGTTCTTAAGCCCAGGCAGAGACCATATTTTGGGTGATACAGGCGCTTATTTGTGAGATTGGCAAGACCAGATTTAGGAGGAGAAAGCTGATTCCTGGAGTGGAGATTGAATTTTCGGCCTTCCTGCTGGAATTTATACATAAACTAATTGGCAGCTAATTGGCCAGCATTCAAGAACTAAGGAAAGAAGTCCTTTCTCTGGCTGGTGGCTCACACTTTAAGGAGAGCCCACACTGCCAGGCATTGGCCCCCTTTCTTCTGGTCCTTATCTGAGACAGAGTCCAGCCTCTAGTGGCCCAGGACACTGCCTCTCTGTCCCCTGCCAGGAGTTCTTAGGACTCCTCTGTGTGCTATGGCAGAGGGTGGCAGTGGCTCACTGTGTGTCCACTCTTTCCAGCCATGACTTAAAAAAAAGACCTCTTCCATCTTTACACACACACACACACACACACACACACACACACAGTGAGAGGTAGAGGTTTTGAAGGACAGGCCTTCTTTAAGAGTGGGTTCAAAGTACTTTCTCTTCCTCTACATCAGACTCGGTGCCTGTCCATTTTCCTCTGAGCTGCTCAGTGGGAGCAGCTGACCCTCAGAGAGCGCATCTCTCTCTATGCAACATTAGAGGGAGATGGCGTGATCCACCTCAGGCCAGCTGGGGGCCCTTGGGAAGATAACCAAAGGCTTGGCAGTCAGGAATGTATCTTTGTATTCTTTCAGAGTTCAGAAGGCAGGACCACTGTGGCAGAACATGGTCTCTGT